CAGGAACTCAACTACAAAGCTCTTAGAATATAGAAGCATCTAGGGATACAAAATCAATACTCACAAATTAGCCTTGGTTTATTCCAACAATTGACTATCCAACAATAAAAGCAAAAACTCTATCCCTGTCACAGTAGCTCCAGAGAAGAGGAAATACCTGGGAATATATCTAACATAGGACATGAAAAATCTCTATAAGAACTATGAAAGCTTGAAAAAGAAAATAGCAGAAGATGTCAACAAATGGAAGAATATACTATGCTTATGGTTAGGAAGAATTAACATTGTTAAAATGTCCATACAACTCAAAACAGTGTATAGATTTAATGTAATCCCCATCAAAACACCAATCTCAAACTTGAAAGAACTTGAAAAAATAGTACTTCATAAGGAACCAGAAAAAAAAAAAAAACAGTAGCAAATACAGTTCTTAGAAATAAAAACAAAGAAGGCATCACAATGCCAGATTTCAGGTTATATATACTGCAAGTCTATAGTAATCAAAACTACATGGAACTGGCACAAAAATAGAGATGTCAACCTATGGCACCTATGAAATAGAATAGAGAATCTATAGCTGCACCCTTCCACATGATCATTTGATAAGCCTAACCAACATGCACTGGAGAAAAGGATCCTTATTTAACAAATGGTACTGGGAATACTGGTTATCTACATGTAGAAGACCAAAACTGGACCCACACCTCTCACCACTGACAAAATTTGATTCTTGCTGGATAAAAGATTTAAATTTAAGACCTAAAGTAATAATAATTCTAGAGTTCTACTTAGCTTGTATAGTCTATGATATACTAACTCATCATTAATTTTAATTAAGTACTTGAACACAGTTTCTTATTCAAGACCCAAAAGTAGAAATATAATATTGCTATCACAATAAAAGAATGAGCTAAACTTTGCAAATAGTTTTTAAAAAATGAGGGCAAATCAAAAAGTCCTTGGAAAAAACTTTATTAGCAAGAACCCCCCTGGCAATTGCAGCAACACAAAAAATTTATTTGATCAAGCTAAAAAGCTTTTGCACAGGTAAGGGTACCACAAACAAAGCAAATAGACAGCCTTCAGAATGGGAGAAAATTTTTCCATGTTTTGAATCTGACAAAGGTCTGATAACTGGAATCTACAGAGAACTCATACTAATAAGAAAAGATCAAACAACCCCCTCTATAAGTGGGCAAGAGAGTTGAATAGACACTTCTCCAAAGATGACAGATGAATGGCCAACAAACACCTGAAAAAATGCTTGTCTTTGATCATCAGAGAAATGTGAGTGAAAACCACTCCAAAATAGCACCTAACCACAGTAAGATTAGCCCACATCACAAAGTTCCAAAACTTCAGATGCTGGCATGGATATGAAGAGAAGGCAACACTTTTTACATTGCTGGAGGGATTGTAAACTAATATAGCCTTTTTGGAAAGAAGTATGGAGAATCCCCCAAAACTATAAATTGACTTTCCATTTGATCCTACAATCCCATAACTAGGTATCTACCTAGAACAAAAATCATTTTACCACAAATATATTTGCACCAGAATGTTTACTATAGCTCAATTCATAATTGCCAAATCGTGGAAGCAACCCAAATGCCCATCAACTCATGAATGGATCAACAAATTGTGGTATATGTGTACCATGGAATACTTCAACCATTAAAAAAGATGGAGACTTTACATCTTTTACATTTACCTGGATGGGGTTGAAATAAACTCTTCTTATTAAAACATCACAAGAATGGAAAAAATAATGTACTCAATACTAATATGAAACCAATATTTAAACAATTACATTCTCATATGAACAATAAAACACTAATATTGTCTAATATGGGGGAGGGGTGGAGGATGATTGCCAGAAGGAGGGAGGGCATGAGGTAGAATTTCACCTAATGTGCACATTGTGAGGGTAAGGGGGAGTTTATACAACTGGAACTTTGCCCTGAAAGTGAACAATGTGATCTAAAAATTTGTACCCTCATATTAATTTTAAATAAGAAACTTCAACCTGATATATCATACCAGAGAGTAATTACCCCTTTCAATATCATTTCACAAAAAGTGCTTTCTTGCTAAGCCTGTGATTCAATAACAAAGTCATACTTATGATCTGTCAATCATGAATTTTCTACCTGGTGAAACAAATTAATTTTCTTGTGAAAATTATTATAACATTGGAATATTAGAGTTCTACTTAGCTTGTATAGTCTATGATATATTAACTCATCATTAATTTTAATTGATTAAGTGCTTGAACACAGTTTCTTATTCAAGATCCAACAGTAGAAATATTGCTATCACAATAAAAGAATGAGCTAAACTTTGAAAATAGTTTTTAAAAAATGAGGGCAAATCAAAATTCTACCAAACTTCTGTAATTATCTTTTGTAAAGATTGTAGAAATAGCTATCCAATAGCCTTATGAATAAGTTATTACTTACTGATTATCTTGAACATTATTTAAAATGTTTATTCATAAATATGTCTTTTTATAGATATTGGACATTTTAGCAATGCTTATTTGCATGACTGTTGTCATAAACTTGTTTTCATGAATACTATATTAAAAAAATGTATATAATTTTAATTTTTTGTATATCCAAATCACTAAACTTGCCTATTTTTATGGAGGTAGAAGAATAGTAATGTTTAATTAATCTTAGAAGACTTTAAAGAATAAAATAAGAGGCTCGGTGCCTGTGGCTCAAGCGGCTAAGGCACCAGCCACATACATCCAAGGTGGCGGGTTCGAATCCAGCCCGGGCCCACCAAACAACAATGACGGCTGCAGCCAAAAAATAGCTGGGCGTTGTGACGGGTGCCTGTGGTCCCAGCTACTTGGGAGGCTAAGGCAGGAGACTCGCTTGAGCCCAGGAGTTGGAGGTTGCTCTGAGCTGTGATGCCAGGGCACTCTACCCAGGGGACAAGCTTGAGACTCTGTCTCAAAAAGAAAAAAGAATAAAATAAGAACCTATGGTATATACTTGTAAGATCTTATGAAATTCCACTACTGTATAGAACCATTTTACTCAATTTTACTTTTTAGTAAGATCACTAAAAAATAAATTATTTATACTTTTTAGTAGGATCAGTTTTTCTCTATTTTTTTGAAGTTACTAAATCATTATGTGCTTTAAGACTAGTAAGTTAGTAGGTGATGAAAGTTCTTCAGATAATGAGGAAGGTGAATCAGACACTATAATACATCAGAATATTTTTAAGTAACTCATAAGGACAAAAGTAGGCTTTTTTATGTAATTGATTTCTTAATGACTTTACTTTTTCGTTCATCTAAATATTAAGCCTTTATTATTTTGTATAGAATGTCTTATTCACAAATCATTGCCTCTTAAAATGATTATTTTAAAGGTCTAACTCAAATGCCAACTTGTACTAGATATTATCCCTGTTTTTCATTTGTCTGCCTCTCTTTTCTCATGAGTTTTTCCACTTATTTCTCTCTTCTTATATATTATGCCTTATGTTATAGTTGTATATCTACATGTGTATCTGTATTTCTTAAATAAATTATTTCACTTTTATGCTTTAACTATATAGCACCCAGTGCCTTGCACATAATTGTTCAATGATTAATGTTTTTGAGTGTTCAAAATCAATATACAATAAATGATATAAAAATAAGATGCTTATTTTTGGCCTTTTAACCCCTACAATTGTTTACTAATATTTAAACCTTTTCATTTTCTAGTCATATTTATAGCTTTTTGAAATTCTGGCATAGACAGTATTGATTGGTAGAGTATTCCAGTGTATTTTACGTTTTTTTTTTTTTTTTTTGCTATCTCTATCACTACTTTTACACTATTGAGGAAAATAAACTAATAAACCTTTTTCCATAAATTCTGAATATGATAATCAATGCTGTCTTAAAGTACTGAAGAATCTTACCAAGCAATTATATTTATTTTCTTCCCATACAGTGCCAGTTCTGACATGAATTCTTTCAGCATGAAATTTTTGTCTTGAGATTACTTCAGTTAGTAGCCTACAATTTGTACTATTTATATAAAATGTGTAGGCTGAGTATTGAAATGTTGATATTTAGAATTTCAATTACAATTTGAAATATAGCACAGTCGTCTTTCACTACAATTAGTTCTAGGAACACCCTCAGATACCAGAGTCTACAGAGGCAAAAGACCTTTATCCAAGATGGTATAGTATTTGCATCTGTGCACATCCTCTCATATACTTTAAATCATCTCTGGATTACTTATAATTTCTAATACAGTGTAAATAGTTGTTATACTGTATTGTGTTTTATTTGTATTATTTTTATTGTTGTATTATTATTTTGTATTGTTTTCTTCCCCAATAATTTTGAACTTAGGTTGATTGAATCCAGGGATATGTAACATGTAGATATGGAGGGTCAAATGTACTTTAAAATGTCATCAGTGTTTTATATATTTGTCAGGAATCTGTTACTTCAGAAGATTTATGAAGCTGTCTGAGAAACAAAAGACTGTGTTTGCAGTGTTTATGTGATGCTGTACATAGGACAGAACTCTAGGCATGAGTACTGAATGAACACCATTTGATACAGAAAAGTACCTTTATTGTACAAAGATTTTCAGGTATCTCAGGAATAGAAAATCAAACACCAGATATACTCAATATTATATTAGAACTAACTAATGAGCATACATGTGCACAGAGGGAAATAAAACTCACTGTACATAATCTGGGTTGTGGGAGGATGAGAGGGACAAAAAGCGACCTAACAGGTAAAATCAACACTATTTGTGTGATGGGCACAGTTATAGCCATGACTCAAGAATTAGAAAACTATCCATGTAACCTAAAACATTTGTACCCCATTAATATTTTGAAATAAAAAACAATATTTATAATTGTTTATTTTCTGCAAGCAGAAGAGGATATTTTTAAGAATGTATATTGGGACATAAAAGTTGTTAATTTAGATGCTACTGTTTAATACCTTATGTTTTCTCTTTTAGCTTATCTATTTTAGGCAAGGGCATGAAGCTTATGTGCGGGCTGTAAGAAAATCAAAAATATACAGTGTTAACATACAGAAACAGCCATGGAACAAAATGGATCTCAGGGTAAGTTTGCCAAATTCATAATTTATATAACTGAAGTAGCTTTGAAATTAAGTTACTTAATCATTGGATTTCCCTCCGTTTCATGCAAATTTCATTATTGATTATATATCGAAGATAAATTGATGTATGAAACTCTTGTATAACTGGTATGGGTCACATTTATGTTTCCTTAAATTTGTATACCATCAGTGTCTTGATTATTTGACTTAATTTCCTACAAGTTTCAGGTCCTTTACTCTTCCATCCCATAATTACAGTAAAAAAGGAGTTCCTCTCTATGGATATTTTTCTTATCAGCAACCTTGTACATTCTGGAAGTTCCATAAACTAAGTTTGTGAACTACAAATATTCAACATTCTGACAGCTTTATAATATATTAAATATGTATCATAAATCAGAAAAAAACTCAGAAACATATATGCTTTATAAAATTTTTTTTTATATAGTCCCCATGTAACTGCATGGCTAAATAAAACAGATATTGAGAAGGATTTTAAGTCAGTAAATATTTATTTTTTCATTTATTCACTCATTCATACATGCATGCATATACACAGACAGACATGGTTATACATACCATCATTTTTACGTTTTATGTGTTTTGTTTTCTTTTGTTTTTATGAACAAGAGACTAAAGAGCAATATTATGATGGTTCTCCAATTATGAAGGGTTGTTGGGTGAAGATGCTTAACAAGGATTTAAGACAGAATCTGTATTTTTATTAAAATAAATATTTAGTTTAGATATTTGTGAATTTTTATTTTTTAGAGGCAGAGTGTCATTTTGTCACACTTGGTAGAGTGCTGTGGCATCACAGATGACAGCATCCTCTAGCTCTTGGGCTTAGGCAATTCTCATGCTTCAGCCTCCCAAGTATCTGGGACTACAGGTGCCTGCCACAATGCCTGACTACTTTTTTTGTTGCAATTTGGCCGGGCTGGGTTTGAACCCCACCACCCTTGGTATATGGGGCCAGCACACTACTCACTGAGCCACAGGAGCCACCCTGTGAAAATTTTTATTATTATTGTTATGTGCTGCAGTATCTTATCAAATGAGTTTTCCATAATTTTCTCCTGGGATAGGGATGGCTACCATCTATACAGAATCTGATGAAAGTTGAGTTCGTTTTTAGAATCAGAGGAATGAATAAAATATGTGACTTCTTATTTTTAATCCTAACCCTGTGGTTCCAGGATATTGTATCAAGCAGCATGTTTGTGGTAAAAGAGTATGAGCTTTGGAGTAAGATCTAGATTTTAGTCCCGTCTCTGTTATATGTTAGTTTATAACTTTGAGCAAGTCATTGTACCCATTAAGATCAGTTTAGTCATCTGTTAAATGTGACTTGTAATCAGTGTATAAGGTTGTTGTAAGACAGTGCCATAGGCATTTTAAAATGTAAGTCTTCTCTCCAAACGTATATACTTGATTTTTTTTTAACCAGAGTGAGCATTGTAATCCCCTGGGGAATTTTTTTCTGAATATGTATGGCTAAACTATGCTTCAGGTTTATAGAATTTGATTCTATGGGAGTAGGATGCAGGACCATGAATTTGGAAATGTTTTCTCAGGGTATTCTGTTGCTTATCTTTGCTTTAGATCTCTACACTAAAGTACAACCTGCTATTAGAGGTCAAGAGCCATGTATACTTTTAACACTCAGTGTAATGCCTAGATTTGGTAGATATTCAGATAATTCTGAAATTGTTCAATTAATAATGAAATATGTGAATTTGATATTGAAAGTACTAATTTATTGATATTCTCATTAATAGGAGCAAGAATTTGTTAAGATTGTAGGAATCAAATACGAGGTTGGACCACCTACACTATGCTGCTTGAAGCTTGCATTTTTGGACCCCATTTCAGGCAAAATGACAGGAGAATCTTTTTCTATTAAGTGAGTAGCTATTTATGATTGTGTGTGTCTTTTTGTGTGTATTTATTTTAATACCTACTGTATATTCTACAGAGTACATAGATCAATGGGAGAGGAAACATGGTAGTCCTACTACAGGGTTTACAAAGACCAGAATTTAAATCTTATTTTTTTCTCCATGTAATTTCTTTTTTTTTATTAAATCATAGCTGTGTACATTAATGTAATCATGGAGTACAATGTACTGGTTGTATATACAATTTGAAATGTTTTTATCAAACTGGTTAACATAGCTTTCATGGCATTTACATGTAATTTCTATGTATATGATGGATAGATAGGTCCCTTAGAAAGTTACTTAACCTCTTTGAATTTGTGTCTTCATTTGTAAAAGGAAAATACTAATCTTACTCAGAATTGTTGTGAGGAGTCAAAGAAAACCTTTATAAGTGACTAATGGTATGCTTGAAATATAGTATTTCTTTTTATTTCTGTAATAATAGGAATAATAAGTTAGTGGATCATTTCTTGAAATTGAGTCTAGAATCTGAAGATATTAAGGAACATCAATTCATAGTGTTTTTAAAAAGTCATTAGTGTAAAATATCTCATTATGCTTTAAAAACCTTTACTGGCATATATATATATATATATATTTTTTTTTTTATTGAATGGTAACTATGTACATTAATGCACTTCTGGGGTACAGTGTGGGATTTTCACAAACAATCCGAAACACTTCCATCAAACTGGTTAACATAGCCTTCGTGTCATTTTCTTAGTTATTATTTTAAAACGTTCACATTCTGGTCTTAGAAAGATTCACTTGTACCCTTGGCGTCTTTATATTTTTAAAGTAATACATCAATCTGCAAGGTACTCCCGAACAAATCAGAGGAGATGGTGTTTAATTTAAGTAAAGATATTTCTTGGAACTGTTAGGTTTGCAAAATTTTTCTTAATGCCTCCATATTAAACATACATCTTTAGATATTCAATAAGTAACATAATACTGTTTTAACTGTGAATTGATTCACATCTGCTTTATTTTCTGTTCAGGTATCATGACATGCCAGATGTCATTGACTTCCTTGTGCTACATCAGTTTTATAATGAAGCCAAAGAAAGGAACTGGCAGATTGGTAAGTATAGAATTGTCATTTAATAGCTATTAAACTTGAAGTAGAGTAAGTAGCTTTTCAACTGTGATTTAACAGAAAGAAATTAGTTTAATGCTAGCAAAGGCTTTCAGCCAAACTAGAAAAATCAAAGTAAAATTTCCTTTTTAGTTATGTTAGGTAATTCTTTGCATATTATGTGTGAAAAGTAATCTCTAAACCTTCTATAAATACATACTCTATTAGTATACAAATCCAAATAAAAAGAAAATTCTCAAATGTCAGTTGCCCTAATATAGAGCACTTTATACTTGTGCTCTTAAACAGATCATTACTGATTATGGTTTCTTTCCTGCCTTCTTGCCTCTCTCTCTTCCTCCCTCTTTTTCTCTCCCCATTTCTCTCTTATCTCCCTTTCTACCTTATTCTCTGTCTCTTTTTTTTCTTCTTTCTTTTCTTCTTTGGTTATAAAAAATACTATAATAATAATGTAAAGCAAAATTTTTAAAGGTAAAGAAATTGGCTTAAAGCTCTATAATTATACAGAACATAAAGATTCTAAAGCTATTGACTTTTTAGACATTTACTGATATATGCCTGAAATTTTAAAATGTATTTGTAGCTATAATAAATACATAATTTTGGAATAATGGGGTCTCTCAACCTGACTTGGAATCTTGCTTTGTAATTAGCTGTGTGATCTGGAACAATTTTTTAACCTCTTTATGCTTTACTTCCGTTGTCTTTAAAATTAGAATCTTATCAGTACATGCTTATGAGGCTTATGTGAGAAATAAATGAGTTAAAATATAGAAAGCACTTAAAATGATACCAGGTACATAGTTAATACTATGTATATGTTTGCTGTTAGTGTGTTTAAATTCACCTTTCCTATGCATAAAAAATGATTTTGTTCACAATGGTATGATTGTGTAATCTTTAGCTATTTAAAGGTAGAAAATTAGTATGAAGATATTTTCAAAACTTTATTTTAAAAAGTTATTTTTTTAAGTGTAGAGTCCTATAGTGCTTAGACTGTCCTCAAATTCCTTTAGGCTTAAGCAATCCTGCCTCAGTCTCCCAAGTAGCTGGTACTTCTCATGTGCACTATTTTATTTAATTGAAGAGATTTTGAAAGGCATAAAAGAAGAAAAAACAACTCTATTAACATACATATGCAGTACAATAAAGAATACGTCTAATAGCAATGCCAAGTAATTGATAGAAGTTAAATTATGTTTGATAGCATTTATCTAAGAAGACATGGACCTATGTAATTTATTTTGGAAAGATTTCTCCAACTTGAAAATCAAAATACTTGAAGGAGAGTAAAATGTAAAATTCACTTATCTGGAAAACTTAGATGGTAACTTCTGATAATGTAAGACCCAGTGCTACTTCTGTATAGGAACAGTGCCAGTATTCTCAAGAGCACCCTTTTAAGAATTTTTAAAAATCTATTACAGGTGATAGATTTCGCAGTATAATAGATGACGCTTGGTGGTTTGGGACTGTGGAGAGTCAGCAGCCTTTTCAACCAGAGTATCCTGATAGCTCTTTCCAGTGTTACAGTGTTCAGTAAGTATGGCTGTAGTCCTTTATGCCTGATATAATACTATAATGGTATACCAACTTTCAGTAAACTCTTCCAGAAATAATACATTTTTATCTGACTTAGATAGTCTCACAATACCTATATATGAAAGGAAAAAAATAGACCTTTTGGCTAAAAGGAAGAACAAAAGATTAATTTCTGCCTCCCTATTATCTGCATTTTCTCTTCAGTATTTCTATTTTATATAAGATTTGTAACTATTTTTTCATGGAAAATACTGAAATTAATTTCATGCTTAAAGTAAATGTTAAATTGGAATAAAGCAATGAGTATTAGTAACATCTTTATTTAATGCTGTGAATTATAAACAAAGGTGACTGTATCATGTTTAGAGATACTATTAGTCTACAGTATTTACTCTAATTATTTTTAAAATTGCAAAGTTTTAAGATTCCTAGTGAGTGAAGCCCTCAAGAATGATAGAAGAAATGTTTATTCTGTGAGGATTTATTTTTTAGTCTCTATTGACTTACTGTCCTCTGAGGCTTACTGTCCTCTGAGTTTCATATTGATAGACTATGTTTTCTCTATTAGAGGTTTATTATCGTGATATGAGCAGAGTTGTACTTTAATTATATTACTCTTTTTCAAATTTCCCTCCCTGAGAGTCATGCAAATTATTCTAGTATATGAATGTAAGTACCATGTAAATTTGATTTGCATTTTGTTATTTTTTAACAGCTGGGACAATAATGAGAGAGAAAAAATGAGCCCCTGGGATATGGAGCCAATTCCAGAAGGAAGTAAATATGCTTTTTAAAAATGAATTCTTTTGAAAGTAAAATGGCAATAGCATGGTATTGGAAATTAATTATTTCTGATTTTTCATTTTCTACTTAGCTGCCTTACCAGATGAAGTTGGTGCTGGTGTTCCTGTGTCCCAGGAGGAACTGACTGCTTTACTATACAAACCCCAGGAAGGAGAGTGGGGGGCTCATTCCAGAGATGAGGAATGTGAACGGGTTATTCAGGGCATCAACCACCTTCTTTCCCTGGGTATGGTGAATGTGAAAAAATATTAGAAGTGTGGAAGGAAGCTAGGAAAACCAGCAGAATTTTAAGTTCTACAAAAGAAAATGGAATTTCTCACTATACATTTTACATTTAAATTAAGCACAGTGATTCTACTTTTATTGTTAACATTTCTGTGTGTTGGGCCAAAGTAATAACTGATAAACTTTTTCACACTCTGGGGAATAAGAGTTAAGGCAGGCACATAAGTGTCTTTTTCTTTCCTCAGTCGTTTTGGCTCGCTAGCTATTCCCTGAGCCTGAGTTTGAATAGGTTCCTCAGTAAGGAGAGTGGGTGAGTAAAGTATTTGAACTACACAAATAGGGACATTTTCTAAAACATATCATGTGAGAAGTCTATCAGTTATCCAGGAAAGACATGGACATCTGAAGTTAAACACAGTATTCCTTTTAGTTTTTGTTTGTTTGTTTGTTTGTTTGTTTTACCTAATTTAAACTAGTGTATCATGCATGACTAGTAGATACTATGTCTAAATGAATAACATTCTAGTTGTATAATTGAATCATCATTGTATTAGAAATGTAGTATATTGACTTCCCTTCTTTTTTTATATTATTGTTTGTTAACATTAAATGTTAATGTCTTTTATAGCTACCTTTTTTTTTTTTTTGATTTTGGTAATTCTTTAGATTTTGCCAGCCCTTTTGCTGTTCCAGTGGATCTCAGTGCCTACCCCTTGTATTGTACTGTAATCGCTTATCCAACTGACCTCAACACCATCAGGAGGAGACTTGAAAACCGCTTTTACAGGTCCGTTTAGTTTTATCACTTAGTGTAAAATTCATAGCTGTATGGCTCTTGCTTTCCTTTTGAGATCTGTGTTTTCATAGTGTAAAATGATCATCCAAAAGACCTCTACATTAAAATTTCTTCTAAAAATTTGGAACACTAGTTTTCCTTTATTCAGAAGATTCTCTCTTCCAAGGTAAAAAGGAGGTGGGTAAGAAAAGTAGAGAAGAAAATATAGGTGGCATAAAAACAGTAGTTAACTTTAGTTTATTAAAGGTAAACTTTATGTATTCATCATGATTAAGGTGCTATAGATTTGGAGCATATTTAAATTCTTTTCTGAGTAATTAGGCAGCAGTTAATTAGATTTAATTGTCAACACTGAAATATGTATAGGTGAAGAGCTAAGTTATTTTTTCCTTGATTGGGAGGGACATGATTATGGAAGGGCTATGGAGGGCACTTCTTGGTCCCTGTCTTCATGTGTGTCTACTACTAAGCACAGTATCACACAAACTGGTTCATCTGCCTCTTGTAATTGAGAACTGGATGCATTTTTATAATTATATATTATTTGTGTAAATAATATATTTCAAAAAAGTAACTAAATAAAAATCTGTCATCTTCTGCAATCTAGTTTTTGTCCTTAATTTTGTAGGTTGTTCCCCTGAAAAATAAGCTAAATATTCTCTTGATTTTTTTTAATCAAAATACTTTATTTACTTATTTATATTTATTTGTTTTTGCCAAATAACTCTACCTATAATGTCCTGGGTTATTTCCATTCCAAGTTTTAATATACAGTTCATTGGCTCAGAATTCCTCCCTGTGCTTCAAATGCTGTAACTATACCATTCCTTTTTAGTCAAACATATATATTGAATTACATACATATATTGGAATACCTCTGACATACTATGGTTAAGTGCCTTGTTGTGCTATATCATATAGTCCTAGAATATATTTTACTTTTTATTTTTTTCCTAGAATATACTTTAAATGTATCATCCAAGGCTAACATAGCATATTTTTTCTTTCACAGGAGAATATCAGCATTAATGTGGGAGGTACGCTACATTGAGCATAATGCCAGGACTTTTAACGAGCCAGACAGCCCTATAGTTAAAGCAGCAAAAATTGTAACTGATGTCTTACTCCGATTTATTGGGTAAGAAGTTGTTATGATTTCCAGAGAGGCTAACTTCTGATATTTTTTAAAATATTTTTGGAGCTATAATTAGGTTATAGCTTTCATATGAGAACTATAAATTAGTTTCATAATAGGGATGTGTACATTGGATACTTTTTCTTCCATTCTTGTGATACTTTGCTAAGAGGGGGAGGGGAGGGGAGAAGGGCGGATGGGTGGAGGGAGGGTGATGGGAAAGATCACCTCTATGGTTTGTCTTACAAGGGTACAAGTAAATCTTTCTAAAAGTAGAGTATAAATGTCTTAACACAATAACTAAGTAAATGTTATAAAGTCTATGTTAACCAGTTTGATGAAAATATTTCAAATTGTATATGAAAACACTACACTGTACCCCATGGTTGCATTAATGTACACATCTATCATTTAATAATCATTTAATAAAAATTTTTTTTTTTTTTTAATTTTGGATATTATAAAAATTATTAGAATTATTGAAATGACTTATCTTATTTCTTAGGGATCAGAGCTGTACTGATATACTAGATACTTATAATAAAATTAAAGCAGAAGAACTAAACAGTACTGATGCAGAGGAGGTAAGAATCACAGCATAATTAGTAGGAATCAATTCCTTTTCTCTTACTTGAAATAAAATAAGTGTTATATGCAAATGTTATAATTGGCTATGAACAGCCAAACAGATTTTTTAAAGTTGGCTAAATACCTGCATCTTTGTATATTAAACTCGTTAACCTGTCCTTAGATTGAATATACCACAAACGTAATAGCAGTATAGGCTTTAGTCAGAGACAGGTGGCCAGTCATCTTACTTTACTCAGTGAGTTTCAGTAATGCGAAGTCAGCACTTCGTTTTCTAGTCCTTAAAAGCAAGATAAAGCACTCAGTATTTTAATAGAATGTACAATGTGTGTTGCTTCGGTGATACATGCACTGAAGGCTCCAACTTCACCACAGTGCAATTTATCAGTGTAACACTTTTACCCGTGAATATATATAAATAAAATATAAATGGGGAAAAAACAAACAATAAATAAAAGAATGTTTAATTGATGGAAATTTCAGTTAGGATGTTATTTTCTATACAATGTATGTAAAATATTAAGGAATTTTAAGATTACAGGTTTGAAAGTTAAATTTTTAATGGTTTCATAGAATTGCTATTTGATTTCTTCTGTGGAAATTACCAACATAAACCACTCCTTTCTAAATGAAATGGAATTAGTATTCTCAGCAGACCCCTATATATCTGATTTCCCCACCCCATCTATGTTTCTGATTTATATAAAGTCATATTAGACTGGAGGCTATGATAGAGAGAAACAAATACCAAAATAAGAGTATTGAATAATAATGGAAAGTGATAATTTATTTTCTGGAAAAAATTCATCCCAGGGAAAAGTCAATCAAATATGCTAGATTCTTTTGCAGTGGCATGAGATATTTTGCATATTTGTATTATCTATACTGATCTCAAAAATGGTAAGTTTTCAGTGTTATTTTTATTCTTTTATGAAAATGTGTTTAATTCTGATACACTGTATTATTGGAGTTAAATGTTATTTACATAATAAAACACAACACATAAATTAGATATTAGCCTCTTGCCACAGAAAAAAATTACTGTTCATATTCTTAGATTTACCTATATATTTCTTATATTCTTCTCTGACCTTTCACATAAATGTATTTTAACTTAGGATTTGAGGTAGCAAGAATTTCTCCTAACAGTAGCATTATTTGGGTTAAAATAGAAAATTTAAGTAAAAATTTAATTTATTAGGTTTATTTCATTGGAAAGGACTATCAGTAGCTCATGAAATACTTACCTTTTTTCCTAGGTGCTTCACCATCACTGGTGGTTCCTGGGACTTGATTCTTTGTATTAAAAAAATATCCCTCAGAGAGAGTTCTCTGTATCTTAGGTTGTAATATACATGTATTTTTCCTTCAGAAAAAAGATCTATTTCTTGAAATAGCAAAGGATTAATCATGAATAAGTGATCATTATATTAAATAAACATGTCATATAGGGTAACTTTTTAAAAAAATACCACTGCTTCCTAGGTACAGCTTTAGCAGATACCAATCACTGCACCTTTTCCTTAGTTTACTATTCTGATTTAAAGAGAAACTTTAACTCATCTTCTTCCAGTGTATTTTCCAGCTTGTAAATAGTATATTGGGAAAATTTGGAGTGAGTCTCCCTCCAGCCTTTGTTCTGCTGCCTGCTCCAATGAGGGAAAGCTAATTGTGATTATATTTGCCATTTATTTGTAAATGTCTAATTTCTAAGACTTTGAATGTAACTTAACATTTCTTACTCTTCCCTTTTAATTTAATAGGATACAGAAATGGTTGATTTAGATTCAGATGCTCCTGGTACTTCATCTGGAAGAAGAGTGAGTAAATAAATAAACATCTGAGAGTGAACATTTTTAGGTTTCCTGTGTTGGTAATCTCTAATGCTTGGGAAATTGCTATATGGACTCTCAGAACTAAGTATATCTATCTTATCTATTTATCTATGTATCTCTATCTCTATCTATCTATCTATCTATCTATGCATAGGTAGTCCCTGGGTTACAAACAAGATAGGTTTCATAGGTTTGTTCTTAAGATGAATTTGTATGTAAGTTGGAACAGGTACATTTACCTATTATCTGTAATAGCCCCCCTTCATAAGTATAAGTTGTACATCAGTCAGATGTTTGTAACTCAGGGACTTAACTGTAATAGCCTCTGGCCATACGTGTAAGTTGTATATAAGTCAGATGTTTGTTACTTAGTGACTGCCTGTACTTATAGTCATGGCTAATATTTATTACTGCAACACAGTCAGTACACAACTGGATCATTAGGGGAAAAGACACAGGCAGAGTCTGCAGGAAGCCACATATAGGCTTCTTTATGATCTTTCTCTATTTCTCTCTCCCTTCTATGAGGGCGTCACATGTCACACTCTTCATCCAGCAATAAAAATGTAGCAAACATGTGTGAGTAGAGACTCAATTCACAAGGATTTTATTGGGGGCTATTTATGTAGGTACCCTCTGACTGGTACATACCAAGATTCCAGGCTCCCAGAAAGAAAGCAGGCATTCAGCATAAAGGACATTATTTATAGCATCTAGGGCAAATTTAGGTACAGTAAACTATCTTGGAAACAGTTCAAAATGCAACTTCCCAAATTGTTACATTAACTCTTTTCTTCAGACTTCTCCCCTATAATAATTAGATATATAGTTGTTTTGTGTAAGGGAAAATATCTTTTGAAATATCAAAAGAGACACTAACAAAAGACATCAAATTAGGGTAGTGCCTGTGGCTCAAGGAGTAGGGCGGTAGCCCCATATGCCAGAGGTGATGGGTTCAAACCCAGCCCTGGCCAAAAATTGCAAGAAAAAAAAAAAGACATCAAATTATAAAAAACAGAACTTATCATGATCACAAAGGATTTCATAAAAAAAGAAATTGCTCAAGTGTTGTTTGAGAAAATTATAGTGCCGTCATCAAGTATACTTAACTACCAATAAATACTGAGGTAATATAAATATTATCCTGATAGAGCGGGGAAAAAAAAGCACTTTAAAATAGCAACTATTCTATTAACATTAGAGAATCATGAGAAAATTAACAAAGAGCTTTAGAACAGAGCTATTCCATATTATTCTATTAAAATCCATAGGTCAAGTGCCGAGGAAGAAGACAGTCTTTAAAGTGTAATCCTGATGCTTGGAGAAAACAATGCAAAGAACTGTTGAGCCTCATTTATGAACGTGAAGACTCAGAGCCATTTCGACAGCCAGCTGATCCTCTTTCTTACTCAGTAAGTATACAGTTGTTTAAATAATTGCCAGTATAACAATTGTCCATAATCATCCATGCTAAAGTCTAGTTAAGAGCAGTTTTTCCTCTCTCTCCTTCCTGCCCTCCTTCTCTCCCAGTCTTTCAATTATGAAAGTGAGTAGGGTAATGATGACCTTTTGAAATGCTTGCCATGTACTTAGTGTGTAAGTTATTTAGTTTAAACCACGTTATAATCAAAATTTCTTTGTTCTTTTTAAATTTTATTTCAGATATTTGTTTAATATATTTTGCTAATTTCTAATATACTTATACTTCTATACATTGTAGAGACTTGGTAGCATATGTCAGTCCTGTTTAATTTGTGCTAAATATGATATGATATGGTCACACAAAGTAACCAACATATCAATCAATATTACTTTTCAACAAAGATAAACACTTGATAAGTTAGGTTATAGGATTCTTTTTTCCTAGGAGTATATTTATTTATATGTTTATTTACCCTTCATTAAAAATAGCAAATATGTTTTAACTTTTTCAGGGAAAAGGTAAAGTTGTATTTCAGAAATACATCAGAATGGTGAATATAGAATTTCTTCACCTTAAAATAAAAATGAATAAAAGCATAATTGTTATTTACAGATCTTCAACCCTTAAGTCATAATTGTATATGAGTCTTGATATTTTATTGTGGTGATATGGAAACACAATATATGCTCCTTATCCTAATAGGGCCATCAAGAGCAAGAAGGGGAATCCTCAGAGTCAGTTTTTGCAGAAAGACAACAAGATCCATCTCCTCCTGAGGTAGGCCTGGTAGTCTCTTAAAAGACATCCTGGATTTTGTGTTTTTACTTTCTAAAAATATCCACACTTTACATAAACCTTTCATAATTTGTTAAAACTGCTTCTAACTATTTGATTTATTTTACCTAATTTAATTTTCCTTGGTCATTTAGTTTTTAATCAACATATGTTCTCAGTATTGTTCTTTGTGGCATCCTTAGGATTATTTTTTTTTTATTTATGTACGTCTAAAGCCACTGCTCCCGACTAGAAAATACAAGTTATACAGTATAATAATTTCTCTACTATAGCTGATTATTCCTAGTGAGACTTTATTCAGTACTCAGGCTTAGTCTTTTGAGTTTTGGACATCATATTATACTAATTCCAACACTTTTCCTCTGTAATAACCTTAATGTTTCATAAGCTCTGCTGTGTTAGAATATGCTTTTGGTTTTCTATGGTTTAAGAAAATAAGATCTATTTTGAGCAATAGTGATTTATCATATTTAAATAATATTTTTTTTCCTTTTTTCTCTGTCCCTTCTGTTTTTTTCTTTTTTAGCCCTTTGAAGGACATGTATAGATTTTACTTTTTAATGATTCTAAATAAGATAAAGGATCTAATACTAAATGTAGTTTTCACTCTGAAACTTACTTATTGATGGTTACAGCATATATAGTTATAAATTTCAGACATAATTTCATATGATAACCCCAGGAAAATCTTAACTAAACTTGAAAAATTGAGGTTAAAATGGAATCTTTGCTTTCTAGTAATTAAAATAATTCTGGTGGAAGACTTTACACAAGCAGACGTATCACACTCATGAAAACACACAAAGAGAACCAAAAACATGACCAATCTGACTTTGATCTCAACTAATGACAGTTTGAGTAGAATGTTCTCATAGCTGAGAATCTTGAAACTATGTAGCTAATTTGTGGAATGAAAATATTTAATTATATGTGAATAATCCCATCCTCTCTTGCTAGGCAGTTTTTTAGGGTCTTGAAGGTTTTATGTGTATTAGTCTTTAAGCAAGAAATGGTATTCATATTATGAACGCTATAGAGATGAAGCCAGTGGCCATGGATTTCCTATTTTGTCCCTTCAGTGTTATGTATTTTTGTTGATGGCTGTATGAGGGCTAAGGCTCTGTCACAGACCTTCTCAGACCCTTGCTGTATTTGTGAGCAACTAAAATATGATTTCTGGTTGAGGGGTAAGGTAGTTGACATATTTAAAAGCAATGTGTTCGGGGTTTGGTGGATTGTATCAGTAGGTGATACAGTTCTATTATGTTATTATTATTGTGCAGTTTGGGTATTTAATAACACATTATTCTTTGTAGGATTATCAAGATGTTATAGATACTCCTATGGACTTCAGCACTGTGAAAGAAACTTTGGAAGCAGGAAACTATGGTAGTCCTCTGGAATTTTATAAGGATGTTCGCCAAATATTCAGCAACTCCAAAGCTTATACCTCTAATAAAAAGTCAAGGGTATGAAGAAAATAATTAGATGGGCTAATTATCCAAGCATTTAGTTATATATGTCAAGCAGTTTCTTTCACCAGTTTTAAAATTGCTAAACAAATATATACTATAATCCTGACATTGTTACTGAAGTTTGATTCTTAGTATATTCTCTGACATATAGATCATTTCAGGCATGAAGTATTATTAGGCATGCATAAAGATGTATTAAACATAGTCATTCAGAAATTAAGCACCTTTTCCTATCTCTTAATTGCATCTTCTTTACTGCTTGTTTGTATCTGCCAGAGAGAAAAAAGGGAAAGGAGAAGAAATAAATTGAGTACCCTCTGTTATGTCTAATAAATGACTTGATAGACATGTAAAGGTAGTTGACAGTATTAGGATACAAGTATATGAAATATTTCAATTAGCTCTGAATATTTATGTTCCCATTATTATAACAAATAGTGAGACATATTGGGAAGTTATAACTGTTTTATTCCTATTCAGATTTACTAATTTCTCTTTTCAATAGAACTTAAAATAGCTTGAGAACAAAAAATAATAATAATTTTTGTCTTTTGTAATCACTGATACCTGATTAACTTTGACTCAATTGCATAGTAGGTATATATTTGCCGACACCCACCTCATATAAAATGAATTTTCGATAGTTTCTACAGATAAACTTTATTTACATATGGCACCCCTTGTCTTGATTGTTAGAGCAACATTTATTCTCTGTGAAATAGAGTTTCAGAAATACAGAGAAATATAATGAAGAAAAGAGAAGTCATCTGCAAAGCCTGTCACCTATTTTTATTTATACCTAATATTTAATATATCTGCTTCCAGGATTTCCTACATTAATATAATTATTTATATCTATTTATATATTCTTTAAAATAATACATTTCATGTTTTGAACCATTTTTTTGTTACATACTGAAAAAGTTTTTGGTACCTACTACGAATTGTCCTTTAGAATGTTGTTTCGATTTAAATCCCCCTGACAGTGTATGAGATTTTTTATTTTTTTTTTATTGAATGGTAACTGTGTACATTGATGCACTTTGGGGGTACAGTGTGGTGTTTTCACACACAATCCGAGACACTTGCATCAAACTGGTTAACATAGCCTTCATGTAACTTTCTTAGTTATTGCGTTAAAACGTTCATATTCTACTCATAGAAAGATTCACTTGTACCCTTGTAAGATGAACCACAGAAATGAACCCTCGAATCCCTCTCCCTCCACCCTCTCCCCCCTCGAGATTTTTTTTTACTTTCTCTTCATAACACTGAATGTTATCCTTTAATAAAATGTATTAATTTTTAGATGAAAAATCATGTCTTATTTTAATTCTTTGAGAATAATTTGTTCATGTGAAGAAAGAGTACATACATATATTTTGTCTGGAATGGTGGTACTGGTACAGGCATGTTTATTATACCTTTTACTTTTCATATAATTAACGTAGTTGCTAAAATGACTACAATTTCCACCTTTTCAGATCTATAGCATGACACTGAGATTATCTGCCTTATTTGATAGTCACATTAAAAACATCATCTCTGAATATAAGTCAGCAGTCCAGAGTCAGAAGAGGAGAAGACCACGGTACAGAAAACGTCTAAGAAGCAGCAGCAGTTCATTATCTAGTAGCCGAGCTCCTAGGTATATTATATTGATGCAGCATTTTATACTTTGAAAACATTTTTCGTGTATTACCTAATTTCTGAAAGTTTATGAATAATTTGAAGAGATTCCAAGAGAGCTTTTTTCACCCAGAACACTTGTGCCTATACAAAAATGGAATTAGTGACAAAAAGTATTGTATATGGATTTTACTATACCAAAAACTTTTTTTTTAATTTTAAGGATTGAAGTTTACCTTTGTCAAATTACTAATTTAAAGCATTTTACTTGGAATTTAGGGCATTTCCTCTTCATTTTGTGTCATACTCTCATAATATGTTACTAACAGAAAAAAATGCTCATTTTTTAAAATATATTTTTGCTTCTAGTCCAAAAGGGAAACAGAAACAAATGAAGTTACAGCCTAAAAATGACCAGAATACCTCAGTGTCTTATGCCAGGACTAGCTCTCCTTTCTCGTCTCCTGGTAAATAATGTCTTTTGTTTTTGGTGTTCTTTATCTCAGCTAAATACTAATATTAAAGATACAGAAGAGGGGCAGAACCTGTAGCTCAAAGGAGTAGGGTGCCAGTCCCATATGCTGGAGCTGGCGGGTTCAAACCCAGCCCCAGCCAAAAAAAAAAAAAAAAAAAAACTGCAAAAAAAAAAAAAGATACAGAAGAGGTAGCATGCTTTCTAGTACAAAGACCAACAGAATCGAATTTAGAAAAGTTGTTTTTTTATCTATTTTACTCACTAGCTGTGTGGTCCTCAGTGTGACATTAGGCCACATGATTGTTTCTTCATTAGACTAGATGAATTTTTAAAGTATCTTAGTTTTAAAATTTTATGACTGAGTGATTTTTAATGTCTGTATCTCAGAGCACTTATCTACAATATGTTTGTCAACCTAAGATTTGAGGATTTGTTATGTGTGGAGGTGGGTTCCTTGGACGTATTTTTGTGATATTTTGTGCTTGAAAGTTTAGCGATAAATCATTTGTTCTCAAAATATTCAGATTTATTTCTTAGAGCAACTTGTAATTTTGGATGTTGGAGTAAAATAATGTAGGTATAGTTTTAAAATCAGCCAGCTTAACTTTCCTAAAAACATGATAATTATGTTAACATTACAGTTTTTTAAAATGCAAGTTTCAGATGCTGCTGAAGGGTTTTCACTCTATCTTCTTGATGATGAACTGGATGGGCCACTGTGTTCCTCAAGCTTCAGTGGATATGGCCGAAGCCATGACCCAGGGAAAGCCAAGTCATTCCGGAATAGAGTTTTGCCTGTTAAACAAGGTAGGAAATAAATACGGTATATGACAGTTATTCTTTATTTTCTTATGAGGAAAGATGAATCATTTAAAAGCTAATGAATCAGCATAGTAAAAACTAGTATGTCCTTATAATTAATGAGTATTTTAATATTGTCAAATTTAAGTTATGCAGGGTTTCATATCTACAACTAATAAGCCATTAAATTTCTAATTAACTATTTTCAAATATATTTTTGTCTTAAAAAGTGAAATGAACAGGGAGAAGAAACTAAATGAAGAGTTCTTTCCTCAAGTGCATAAAAACCAGACTGTTAGATACATTTAGGATTGTTCATATACTAAACCATATTAAAAATAAAAAAAAATTTCCAAAGTCATCTTTAAATAGGTGTCATTTTTGGGGGGACTACTCCAATAAAGAAAATGTGTCTAAGAAAATTTTTATTAGAATATAGATTTTATTTTATTTCTATCTTTAATGAAAGATTAAGTAGCTTATTGTTATTTTAACATCAAATAACTTAAATATACTTTCTACAGATACATTTTATATTGGTTATATATGAAATATTAAAACATATTTGATTAATTTAAAATGTTAATGCCTTTGTTTTTTTACCATACTGTATCTTTAATTTTGCCTCTGATTGATCCTGCTGCACATTGCATACTCATGTGCTATCTTCTCTCATTTTGCCCTTCCTTTCATTGCCAAGTTTTTAGAAGAAGTAACTCTTACTTTCTTCCTCCATTTTCTTTCCACCCATGCTTCCTTTATCCATTAGTCTGGCATCTACTCCAACCACTGTTCAACAGCTATTTTCCTCAGAATCACTAGTACTTGTCACTCTCCTTTTTTTAGTCCCTATCTTCTTGATCTCTGTATCATTCCATACTGTTGACTGCCTTCTCTATGAACTCTATTTCCAGACTTCTGTACGCTGCTAACTGTCCTATATCTCTTTCTCCTATATTTCTGTTTGTTTTCTTCAGCCCTGTTTGTGGAGTTTCCTGATCCTTTTGGTTTTTTGGTTTGTTTTTGCCTTCTATATGTAATGTAATCTTACAACTGCATCAGTGGTGACTTTCCAAATGCACATACACAGTTCAAATCTCTTTATTCTAACTGGTTTCGTTTCCAAGTGCTTCTTTAAAAAAAAAAAAAAAAAAGCATATCTTTGGGTACTTATCATCTTTGCATCTCAAACTTGCTTCTTTTTATGGGCTCACTATTTCAGTGGACACCACTATCTTCTTAACCACCCAACTTAAAATCTTTCAGTGTTCTTTGTTAATTTACCTCTCATATCCAGTCAGTTGGTAAGTTTTGTGAACTCTGCAACTCTTATACTACTTAAATATCTTGTCTATAGTTTCTTTTCTTTTTTTTTTTTTTTTT